CTCTTTCGACGAGGGACGTTTCCATTACTTTCCATGATGGCTCTGCCTATTGAACATCAAGAAAAATTATATTCATTATGATCAATCACTTCTTTCATAATGAATGATACTAATCTGAAGGTTTTCGAACTGTATCAACTAGGACATGGATTAAGACATGAAGACTTTAAATGACTCACATGATCAATCCCAAGGAAATTTATATAGGTAGCAAATCCCTCGTTGAGCCAGAGGTCATCCCACCACACGGGCGTCACCAGGTTCCCAAACCACTGGTGAGCCAATTCGTGGGATATTACCTCTGTGATAAATGCTCTTGTTTGTGGTGTTGACACTTCTGGATTATACATGAGGTAATTTTCCCTGTTTGGATTAATTGATGGTAATAATTCTATTATTATTCTAGATAGATTGTGGATCCTATTGGCTAGGAAATGTCGTTGGCCTCGAATGCTGATTTTAATGGTTTGAAAATTAATGGCAGATGTATTTTTCTTTGTACATACTTTGTTTTGTTTTACCATTTACATGGACTATTTTTTAGTGAAGGATATTGCAAACATATTGTTTACAACGCGTTTTAAGCGACAAACTAATATATCTCTTAATTACTATTATATTTACCTGTTTTGCATAGAAAACAGAAAATGCTGAGGGTCAAACAACATACCTAAGCTCAGAGCAATTTACACATTTTCTCGATATAATGCAAATTGAATATTACCAGATTACCAGTGACGACTTTTAAATTATTTTGATTAACTTGGAAACTTTGAGCAATTGATACCCACAGAATGCTAAATTTCATGGAGCCACATTTTGGTCACAAAATAGAACATTTTTTAAAGCCATACATCTATATAGCATTCAATGCATTTACTTGCTAGTGATGAGACCCCAGTTTTCCATGGCTCCTGCAAAGAAGTCGGGTAACGCAACCATGTCCATCTTTGGGAGAGGGAAAGGCAGGCCGAAATACTCTTCAAAGAAACTCAGGATCTTGGGTCCCACCTTCAGTGCATACTCTGCCTGATCTATTGCTTCTCGTCGCGCCCACACTACCAGAGAATTTTGGGGAAAGAATATTATGACCACACTTAATCATGTATACTTGCTGTTCCATTCATTTACTGATGTGGCGAAAGATCATATAATATAATGCCATGGAGTGAAAAATTTAATTCAGAGAACAAAACTCAAAATCTTGTTTCTTTCACTGGAATAAAAGCATGAAGGTTTCTCTCAGTAACTTTTTTATGAGTGCTATCAATATTTGATGTTTCTGATGAGTTCCGTTATTACCTCGAAGTACCACGCTGTCATTCACTGTGGTGTTGACTTGAACAAAATCCGAGACGACGAAGGCGACGAGGTAGGTGGACATCGGGACGCTCTTCTCATAACGGTCCCACACCCAACCCTCCTGCCCCGTGCTGTTTGTTTAGAAATATGACGCTAAAAGCATATGGATGAAAATTATATGTCTAAACCCAAATTGTAACATTCACTGACATGGTTTATATTTCCAATCTACTCACATAGGCACAGTTTCTGCAATGGGCATGTTAGAGAGGGTCGTCATCGAAGATTCCCTAGCGAGGTGAATTTCAAAGGTTGCCTTTAGGGCAGGCTCATCAAAGCAAGGGAAGGCTCTGCGGGCATCAGTAGCCTGAAACTGTGTCACAGCAATGTTCCTAGAAAGATATAGTGTCAGTAGACACATTGTGTATCAGAATGTTATAAGTAAAGTGGATTTATGAGCACGGTGAGTTATTCACCTGGTGTTGCCTGCAGCATCCATGTAGGTCGACCTGTAGAAGCCGTGCAGCTTGTCATTAAGATAACCAAGGAACTCCATGGAAAGAACGTACTTTTCCTTTCTGCAGCTCGTTCTTCAGATGGGCGATATAAAATTGACGATCATGATCGTACTCATGGTTTTTGATCCCCTCACCTCGGCCTTTCTCTTGACCAGGAGCATACACCTGAAACAGAAGAGGAGCCGCTATGATTTCCAAACATTGGGTCACGCTGAAATGTCCCAAACCTGCATTGTGTATTAAATGTTACTCTGCAACAATTCAAAAATATGTACCTTTATTGTGTCATTTTTAGTGATGATGTCAGCCATGTGGAGCGTGATGTTGGAGGTCGGTTCCAGGACCTCCATCTCCACCTCCATGTAGCCGAAGATGCTAAAGTTGCCATTGATAAAGGGTTGGAGCTTGATCAGGTAATGGAGTGGTTTCACGGATCCAGGCAATCTTATGCCCAAATCAGTTTTCTCCCTTGTAGATACTGGTACGTCGGTCTGTTGTCAAGAGATATTGGATTACTAGATTGCTGTGCAATTCTCTCCGCGAAATGCGACAAAAGAGGCATACATTCCATACTAGAAATCAAAGGAAGTAATATATAAAAGCCAATAGAGCTCTTAGTATGAAATCGCATAAACTTTTCCTGAATAAATATAACAATGAAATACAGTGCTCTTGTTCAT